ACCACGAGTCTCAAATATTTTACATTGGTACATGTTGGGAGCTGCAGACCCCCAGACTCTGAACTTTCTATGACCCCTTGCCTACTGGAGAAAACAACTTGTGTTTCTATGCTTGCAGCTGCTCTGAGCACAAAACCCTCATGAGTTCCTGACAACAAGGAAGTGGTTTCTGGTGGGCTTGCAGTGAAAAATCCCCAGAGCTAGAGTGTGGCCACTAGTCAAGGAGAGCACTATACAAGCTGCTGGGAACATAATAAAATTCGCATTCTTGCTTCAAAAGTGACCCATGTCTCTGTGTGTTCTTTAATCCCAAAGCCCTTGCCCGACCATGGTTCCAGGTGGTACAGTTGCCACAGGTATGGATTTTTGTATACTAATACAAATTTAAGGCTATTTTTGTTATACTATATCTAAATTTCTATTCCTGTTTAAGGCAATTAGTCTTTAAATTTTATTTAGGAAAATAAATACAGGTTAATAGTTAGTCATCTATTAACTATCAAACTTATAGCCATGTTAGGTATGCTCTCAAGGTCAAACAGATATATTTTAGATAGACAGGTGGTCTTTAAACATTTCATGGATCTGTAGATTGTGTCATTTAAGATGTTTTAATAACATAAGGCTTTTGGTGACAGTACCAATCTACTTTAGAGAAGACGATGGGCATCAGAGACCCTCCAATACAAAAATATGCTTTCTTTAAGGCAAAAGCTAGCCATTTGAGCAAGAATCTGCCCTTGCCTTGACTGCTGACAGTATGCTGGCCAAACTGGACAGGCAGGACACAAAGAAAAGGGACTGCCAAACTTTGCCAAGAGAGGATAGGACAATCCTTCAAAAATATCTATTTCACAAAAAAGTCTATAAGATTTTCTAGGCCTGTAAGCCAAAGATGGATACCCCAACATTGCAGAGGAACCTTGGGTAACTGTCTTGGCAGTCAGATGTTTCTGTCATTTATTTCAATTTTGAAAGCTGCTTGCTCTGCACTTCCTGTTTAGTAAGGTAATATTATATCCTCTGGGGTCATTAATGGAGTTAAAGAGTAGGTATTTATAGTTGCAGTTCTCCTTAGTTATAAGAGAAGATAAATTAGGTACAGAGCTTTGGACTCATCAAGATAAAATAAACAATGAAGTATTTTCTACAAATATGCCAAATACAAATGGATTGGACATTGTAAATTAATTCTTACCTAATAATTGTTCTTATTGTTATAGTTTTATTATGTTAGAGTTAAAACCATTCCTTTTTTATTTATTTATTTATTAAAGATTTCTGTCTCTTCCCCACCGCTGCCTCCCCTTTCCCTCCCCCTCCCCCAATCAAGTCCCCCTCCCTCGTCAGCCCAAAGAGCAATCAGGGTTCCCTGCCCTGTGGGAAGTCCAAGGACCACCCACCTCCATCCAGGTCTAGTAAGGTGAGCATCCACGAAACTGCCTAGGCTCCCACAAAACCAATAGGTACAGTAGGATCAAAAACCCATTGCCATTTTTCTTGAGGTCTCAGTAGTCCTCATCGTCCACTATGTTCAGCGAGACCGGTTTTAACCCGGGCTTTTTCAGACCCAGGCCAGCTGGCCTTGGTGAGTTCCCGATAGAACATATTAGAGTACTACTCAGCAGTAAAAAACAAGGACTTCTTGAAGTTTGCAGGCAAATGGATGGAAATAGAAAACATCATCCTGAGTGAGGTAAGTCAGACCCAAAAAGAGGAACATGGTATGTACTCACTCATATTTGGTTTCTAGCCATAAATAAAGGACATTGAGCCTATAATTCGGGTTCTTAGAGAAGCTAAATAAGGAGAACCCAAAGAAAATCATATAGGCTTCCTCCTGAATATTAACCTTCATCAGGCGATGAAAGGAGACAGAGACAGAGACCCACATTGGAGCACCGGACTGAAATCTCAAGGTCCAAATCAGGAGCAGAAGGAGAGAGAGCACAAGCAAGGAACTCAGGACCGCGAGGGGTGCACCCATACACTGAGACAAGGGGGATGTTCTATCGGAAAACCATTCCTTTTTATTTAGACAAAGAGGGAGAAATGTAGAACAATATTTTGTACACTGTGCAGATTTATTGCTTGGATTGGTTTAATAAAAATCTGAACAGCCAATAGTTAGGCAGGATTTTCAGGGTAGAGAAGATGCTGGGAAGAAGGGTGGAGATGCAGAGAGTTGAAGCCAGACAGAGAGGAAGCAAGATGGGGAATACAGAATAAAGGTAACCAAATCACTTAAAAGAATGTAGATTAAAAGATATGGGTTGATTTAAGTTATGAGAACTAGTTAGGAACAAGCCTAAGCTATTGCTGAGCTTTCAGGATTAATAAGAAGTCTCCATGTGGTTATTTGAGAGCTGGCTGGTGGGACAGAGATGGTCCAGAGATACACTTTCTCCCTCAGGTTTGCTTTTTTCAGAGCATTTATCACAGCACCAGGAGAGCAGCTAAAACAAAGAGACTAAATCTAAAGTCTGTCAGGGGGTGGCAATGTGAGCTAAAAAGCCGTGTCATTAAATGTGTTTCTCTGTGTCTTTGTTTCCTTATCATGAGTCAGGTATAAAAGTGTCTTACCTCGCAGAGTTGCTATGAGCACTGACAGAGCTAATTCTCATAGCATGCAAATCAGCGTGGGAGTAGGATACCTGCAGCTGGTAATTATTATTTATATTGCTAACTTAGCCTAGTCATTCCTATGCCAATGTTCCCATCTGGCATCACCCTTAGCCTATTGCTCTATTCACTATTGTGAATTTAGTATTATTCTTTAAGCTGACTCATTTCCAATTTACTTAAATTTTATTTTTAAAGATTGTACTTCATATATGAGAAAGCAGAATTGTGTCATAACTCAAAGGCAAATGCAAAAATAAACATAGGGAAAACAAATGACACCTGTTGTTGGCCAAAAGTGTCAATCACCAGCTTCCTGTGTTATGCAAGTAGGGACAGGGAGGGCATAAAGCTGGGACATCCTCCAGAGAGGAGGCAGGCATGTCTAGCCTGTAGCCTTCAGGACATGTGTTCCAAACAGTTATGACTGTGGCTCAACACCTTGTAGAGGACAGTGTCACACTGTAATGCTAGACAGTTAGGCACCCTGCACTAGAAGCAGTAGAAGCACTATAGGGGAAGGCTCTCCCGAAAGCTCTGTCATTTGAACTCCAGACACTGTCTTCTAAACTAGCAACAAGAGACCCTGCTGTCCCCTCCAGGGGAGGCACAGTTCTCAAGCTGCTTCCACTCTGATAGTGACATTATCCTGGCCATGCGACAACACCACAGGTGCAGCAGTGAGCACCTGAAGCATGGCCATGCAACAACACCACAGGTGCAGCAGTGAGCACCTGAAGCATGGCCATGCAACACCACAGGTGCAGCAGTGAGCACCTGAAACATGGCCATGCAACAACACCACAGGTGCAGCAGTGAGCACCTGAAACATGGCCATGCAACAACACCACAGGTGCAGCAGTGAGCACCTGAAACATGGCCATGCAACAACACCACAGGTGCAGCAGTGAGCACCTGAAGCATGGCCATGTGACCAAGGCCACCACAGGTGCAGCAGTGAGCACCTGAAACATGACCAGTATGGCCAGCAAACAGGTGTTCAATCTATTTGGTTTTAATAATCACAATCTAGTGACCATGTGTGGCTAGTGGCTGTGGTGGGACACAGCACACTTCTGCTGGAGAGCCACACAGGGCTCTTCACGGGCATGCGGTCATCCATGGTTGTGGCTGTGCTGCTGGAAAGGAGATCCTTAGAAAGTAGACAGCAAGTTGCCTTATAGCGGAGGATCATCGGTCCCTGCCTTCCTCACTCTGAAGCCCCATGTGGAGGTTTCTTTTTAGCTCTCTGGGAGGAATTAACAGCTTTTCTTGTTGTTAGAAATGGGATTAATTACTCAAAATAACCAACTGCCTTTCCTTTTCACAATGGCCGCCAGGAAGCCTGCAGGAAATTCAAATCACCAGAAAGGACTAGGTTGGACCTCATAATAAATACAGTCTCTGCTCTTTCCTTTTAAACCCTTTGAGCTATCCAACCCTGCTCTATTTTTCTCCTTGCTCTTATCATTCTTTTCTATATGCTTCTCTAGAAATTACCTCAAGTCTAAATAACATGCATTAAAAAATCTTATAAATAATTCCTAGTGGTACCATTATTTAAATAAGTCATTTCTATCCATTATCAGTGACATGGAAAACACTGCATCAAGCTGCCTAAAATGTTTCCAAATACCAACCAGAAGCACTGTCAGACAAGGGCTAATGCATATGCTACGCATGGAACTAAAACATACACATCTAAATCCCCACAAATCTGCCTGCAAAACTATCTCCAGAGCACACAGATCCCGCAGAGCTCGACTCTGAAGCACTCGTGCAAACAATGCCTGGACACTTCTGAGGCTTGTTTGCAGAAAAAGGGCCCTTTCATTTGCAATGTGTAACCTGACTGGGCATGGTGGCACACCTGTAATCCACACACTTGCACGTTTACTGCCAGCCTAGGCTATGTACCACGATCTTGTCTCAAAACAACAAAAGCATAGTCTGGTTTTTATTAGGGTCCTTTTCCCACTCTCAGACACGTGGTTGAGTGAGATCACTGCCAACCCTGATACAGGGCCAAATTGAGCCAGCCATGAAAATCAAAGTCTTACCCCTCACCCCAAGATTCAGCCACAGGCCTGCGATTCAAGATGGACTATGAGACATGAACCAGGTCCTGGCTGAAGCCAGACAAGAAGAGTGGGTGTGTGGTGCTGCGGGGGAACAGCCATCAAGCTTCAGACAGCTGGCAAAGTCACAGAGCAACAACAGCACAAGGCAACAACAGGACTCCATGCACATCCTTCTACCTGACCAGTGGCCACACACCACCTCATCAGCGCAGATCCTGCAGATATACAAATAGTGCCAGCATGCAAAGCACCATGGCACAAACACAATACATGTCGGCATGAAATCCAGGTACTTACCTGATACACATGAAATGCATTGGCTGCTTTGCCTCGGAGAAACACAGACGGGATCCAAACATTGATCAGCGCCCGATTAGATCTGACCAGAATAAAGAGATGAAAGTGGACATTTTTACTTATTAAAAAAAAGCAGGCCAAGAGACTATTTTCTCCTCTAAAAGTCATTTATACAACAAATTAAATCATACTTAACAGTGAGATAAGGACGTGTTTAATAATTATCACTAGACCTCAGAAGACTATCTCTAAGGACCTTGGTTTAAGGGATGAGTGAGTGAGTGAGTAAGTGTGTGTGTGTGTGTGTGTGTACATGTATTTGAAATTTACATACGCAGTGTACACTCTGGAATAAGAAAGAGCTTGGTCTTCAGCTCTAACCAGCTAAGTGACTTTGGCTTAGGATGCATCTGCAGCTCAGTCACCACTCTGATAGAGGAACAGTCATAGGAAGCCATGGAAGGTCATTCACAGTAGCACGCAGTTTCCGGAGTACCCCATGGAACCATGTGACTATCCACTACCCTGATTTCTGGCCCTGATCTCACCTATGGTTTGGGGAGTGACAACTGCTTGAGCTTGGAGGAGAAAAGGACAAGGGAAAATAACAAATTAGAAAAGTTCAGACGCCCCCTTGTGACTCCTCTACAGCACTGCGTACTGCAGTCAGACTCACTGCAGTTGTTGAACTGGCACACCTGGAGGAGGGACTAAAGGAGAGCTTCCATCCAACTGGCCTGAGAGCACTGACACAGAGGCCCATCTACCTCAGCAGTGCATCCCTGAGTAGCTCGTCCTGGGTTGTGTGAGGAAGGTGGCTGAGTTGAGGAGAGGAAGCAAGCTAGCAAGCAGTGCTCCCCTGTGGTTTCTGCTGCAAGCTGCTGACTTGAGTTCCCTGGATGAAGGACAGTAACACATAAGCCAAAGAAGTCCTTTCCTCCCCGCGCTGCTTTTAGTTCTGGTGTTTATCACAGCGACAGGGAAGCTAACTGGGACAAGCAAGATTTAAACTAAACTACATGGAGCACAGGCCAATGGTAGAGCTCTTGCCCAGCACGAGCCAGTGCCTGGGTTCCATTTGCAGCCGTTCCTGAGGATGTCAACTGCACAGCCCGTGCTTTCCTTCACACTGACTCACTCCACCCCCTGAGAACGGGTTAAGACACACTTGACAGAATTTTGGTTCTATAACAGTTCTGCCTTCCGTGGTGACTTGAGGCACACAACGGCTTGAGCCCCACCACGGCTCCACCCACCTGAAAAGGGGGCTACGGTAGGGCTGAGCTCTTCAGGAACATCCTGACAGCTGGCTAGGCACGGTGCTTGTTCTGAAAGACCCTGTCTTGCCTCCACACAGAGCTACCCAGGGAGAGGGACTTATCCTGAGCATTCCTGCTCAGAAGCCGTCAGCTTCTTGGGCTTGTAGCATAATCCAAGATGCCAGGGTTTGTTGAAGACTTCATGACCTTCATTATTTCACAATCTCCAGAGTAAAAAGCAATCTATCCTCACACCACACACAAACACACACACACACACACACACACACACACACCACAACTTCAGGGGAGCAGCCCTGTGACCCTGGCACTTCTAAGCTCTGGGCCACGGTGGTGCCCTCCTTCCAGAAGACAATAAGCCATGAATGGTCATGTGTTCGGGGTTCAAAGCACACTCAACAATACTGAGTCACCAAATTGGTCTGTGTACCCAACGGCATTTCTCATGCAAAGGTCCCAAAGCTGTGCCTGTGCCTAGAGCACCCCAGAACCTTTCTGTCACCAAGACAGGGGTATAGAAGAGCAATGTCCTGGTTCCATTCCTCTTCCCAACTGCTAAGGCCAAAGCAGATGACCCCAGACTGGGTCACATGTTCTTTTTCCAAGCCATTTACTGCACTATGTTGGAAGTGACTGCCTATGTGACTCCCTCCTGTACACCAGCTCTTTGGTCCTCTCGCCCTCCTCCTATTCGCCTATTGATCACTCATCTATTCATGGAATGAGTATCTAGTAGGACCTGGTAGACACAACTCTATCTAAATATGAGTGACGAAGGAACAGAGAAAACAGATGTAGTCCCCCCTTCACCACAGGAGAGGGACAAATTATACAAATTATTCTGTGCAAAGAAAATAGTGTGATTTCAGTTTTAAAATTTTATTGAGGCATGATCTAATCTGGAGAATATCTCATGTGTATTTTGGAAGAAACCTGTTCTAGCTGGATCTGTAGGATCCATATGACCCATGTGTTAAATGCTTGGTCCCCTGTCTGTGATCAGAAGAGAAAGTCTAGCGGAAGGGAATTGTGGAGCCACAGTCTTCCCCTAATTCTCTTTGCTTCCCAGCATCATGAGGTAGGCAGCTTCCTGCCAGCTCTGATATGGTGCTTCAACACAGGCCCAAGAACTAAAAGTCTGCCTTAGCACCAATTGAAACCTACAAAACAAAACAACCCTTTTAATTCTGTAAGTAATAAAAATGTAACTCTATAGTAATAAAAGCTGACTAACACAAGTGTGTATTCTATTTGTATCTGTATCTTTAGCTATGTTCTGTTTAATTTCTTTATAATGTTGTTAAAGCTCAGTTACTTACTGACCTTCTTTCTGGTGGTTCTATATTGGAAATAGTGTGTAGCTTAACTGCTATCCTAGGACTGGCTGTGTTTTAGCCTGCTTTTATATCATGTGCTTTAAGGCCCTGTGGTTGGGGTGTATACATTGAGGTGTCAAGGTCATCTTTAACTTAGATCATTTTCTCCCTGTCCTTGCTTTCTTATCTAACACACCCACCTCATGGCAGCCCCCAGACAGATGGGGCTCCCAGTGCCCTGTGCCCGCACCAGGTGCTAACATACCCTACAAACTTGGTTCAAGGATTTTCACCCCATGTGAAGGGGTCATTAGGCTTACATGAGGTCAGAATGTTGTGAGACCAGCACCTAAGATTTCAACACAGGTCTCCTAACTCTAGACAAAATGCTTTTTCCGGTGTCCTGCCTCCCCATGCTCTAAAGTAGCCTTTCTGAGTGACCGTTCTCATAGGGAGGCAGGATCTTTGTTGCTGAGACTGTGTGTCTGCCTGGTTTTGAATTCCTGGGTCTAAAGCTAAAGAGGCTGGACCTTCATCCACTGACCACAACCACATGAAAAGGAGGAGGCTCTTTCTGGCCCTGTGTTCCTTAGGAGCCTAAGGAGACTATGGATTCCCAAAACAGAAAGTGTCTGAAGAATGACTGCCCCCTCAGGGGTTAGCAGCAGAGCCCTCAGACAGAATCCGAGCCAGTCAACACCACAGCAATGTTATTATTATGAGTGGGCCAGACAAAAGCGTGGAACATGGGGCGGCAGCATGGTGAAGAACAGAGTGTGAGCCCTGTGCAAAAGGAACCTCAGCGCGGGGGCTGGAGAGATGGCTCAGTGGTTAAGAGCACTGCCTGCTCTTCCAAAGGTTCTGAGTTCAATTCCCGGCAACCACATGGTGGCTCACAACCATCTGTAATGAGATCTGGTGCCCTCTTCTGGCCTGCAGACATATACACAGACAGACTAATGTATACATAATAAATAAATAAATAACCATTTTTTTTAAAAAAAAAAAAAGGAACCTCGGCTCCTCCTTAGCTGGCCATGGCCTAGCAAGGGTGACAAGTTAAAACTCTATGTGACACCTTCCCATTTTAAATGTCAAGTCAAAACCGAAATGATCTTGAATGCCCATGGGAAAATCAAGCATGTTAGACAATTTGGACCTCAGCAAATGTTCCCAGGTCTATAACCAAACGGGTTCTGTGTGCACCTCATGGACATTTCTGCCATCCCTTGCAGACTTCAGGACATAGGCTAGCAACAGGGTTCACTCTCTGAGGGCCTCTCGAGAGCACATATATAAACTTACATTTCAAAATCTGACAAACTCTGGTCTTCAGATGTTTGGCTCAAATCTCCAGGCACCTGCAGTTGGGAAACAGGAAGAAGAGGGAAGAATGCGCAGGTTAGCACAGTTTGCACATTCACCAAAAACTTGTCTCTCAGAATGAGGGGGAAAGCGGCTACTGGAAAATAGTAAGATTTCATGGAGAGGTGGCTGGGGATGATGCTGCAGTCATAAAAACACGCTGCCATGCGAGGCCTCAATTATCTTCACAGAAAGGCACTGCTAACCCTATTGGGATAGTCACAGGCACAGAAAAGCATGGATTTTGGAGCCATAAAGGACTAATTAGGATTGGAATTACAAGATATCATCTGTGCAATGAAAAAAATATCTATTGTCACTGTGAGGAGTATCACAAATATCACACCCAGTATGTAAGCACAAAAGGCCACTACTTCCTCAAAATGGCTGTCCTTTTGTCCCATAATGTATGTGAAACTGCAGGCAGAAAGAACACGAAGGCTCCTGGCTGAAAACACAATTGGTGACAGAACCAAACAGTGTCACACACACACTGCCCCCCACTAATGCTGCTTGGGTCCTAACCACATGCCACAAAGCCAAGTGAGATGGCCAGGAGGTACCAACAGCAAGTGATCTTCAGGGACCCTTAGTCCCAACCCTGGCTTGAGATAGAGATCAATTATCAGGGCTGGCACAAGGACTTACAATAACTATGCTCTGACTATGGGATCCCCATAACAGTATATGCTAAATAGAGGACCATGTTATCCCACCCCCAAGGTGAGGGACTTCCTTTTGCCATCTGATTAAAGTGGTCTAGGATCTTAAGAATGTAAACAAAGAAAGGGAAAACATCTGAAACAAAGAAGAGTGTGGGGAAGCAAGGGGAAATTGTCAACAATATCCATTTTGTTCCATTCAGCTATAGAGGCAGGAGCAAGAGTGGGCGGGAGCCTGGGTCCTGACCTAAATGCCTTAGTACCAACTTAGTGCCTCCCTTCTTCCCAACTCCACAGCCATGAGCAAATCAGTTCTCTGAGATACACAATGGTGAGTAGATTCAGAATCATCTAGAAGACTGGTAAGGCACACCAGTGTGTTTGTGAGGACTTGTCTGAAGGCAGTCAATGTGTTCAGAAGACTCAGGAAGCAAATATAGAAAGCATCACATCAGATCTTCAGACTCTGTCCAAGTTTTATGTAAGCATGTAGACCCTCTGACCAGCTGAACGCCCAGGGAGCTCCAAGGGATGTGACTCCTGTGAGCTATCACCCATGCCAGGTGGTCTTCTTGGTCAGCTGCCTTTGAGTCACCCATGTCCCTGAAAGTAACCCTAATAAATTCACTAGATCATCAAGACAGGTAGAATCATTGCTTTGCCCCCATCTGGGGAGAACAGACATTTGTTCGTGTCTCCCCAGGTAAAGTCACACAACCAAGAGGAAGAAGTTCCATCCTCAATGGAAATGGCTTGGGGAAGCCAGCTAGCCAGCATTCCTTCTTACTGCTTCTCATCTCAAGTACTCTGGCATTCCCCCTCACCATGCTGGACTTCAAAGTCCCTGCAGATATGACCCAGAATAAACCACCTTTCCCCTCAGGTGGTTTAGCAAAGCAGCTCAACTCCCCAACATGTTAACAGTGACAATACTGACATTCCCAAGGTTATTCTGAAGATAAAATGTGCCCCAAGCCACAGCCACTGGTTGCAAACTCAAGTGGTAGTATGGTGATAGTTTAGTATGATAGAGAAGTAAGAGTTGCACATTGCTATCCGTGAGGACACATGAAGAATCTGCCTAGCCAAACATAGGGTACCATTCAGTCCATGCATAACAGCCTGGAGAGAGAGTGACCCAGCTGAGCCTTGGTGGTGCCTTCAGCGAGGCAATTAAACTGGGCCCTGGCCACACAGGTTCCCTGTAAAAGTGTTGCCTAGAGATTCCTACAAACCCAACAGGGAGCCATCCAAGTGCTTTGGTGTCACATTGCTGCTTTCATGACCATCTCTTTCTTGTGGGTGGCTGGAAAGAGTTGATATAACATATTCAGAAGGCAGGAGGCTGTAGGTACCAAGATCCCTAAAAACGTTATCCTTTGAGAGGGGACCTTTTGTCAAAATACACCTAGAAGTAGCAACCCCATTCACCAATCAAAATGTCCATAAGAGATCATACCTCAGGCAGCAGACAGAGTTCAGTGGTAGAACATTTGCCAGCATGGACAAGGCCCTGGATTCCAACCCCAGCATAATCCAAAACCAAATTTCAAGTTTTCTTAAAATGTGTACAAACTATTCAACTATATTAACAATGTTAACTAGAGAAGACTAGAGAGATTGGCCGTGGCCACACGAGGAAGACTGTTAAAGCGAAAGTGAGGGAGCACCATCCTGGATAACAGAGAGACTGGGCTGTGGCCGCATGAGGAAGACTGTTAAAGCGAAAGTGAGGGAGCACCATCCTGGATAACAGAGAGATTGGGCCGTGGCCGCATGAGGAAGACTGTTAAAGTGAAAACGAGGAAGCACCATCCTGGCTAATGCACAAGCAGTTCACAGATGCCACCACTGACAGTAGGTGGGGAGTGAGATTGAGGGGAGAGCCGCCGTTCTCATTACCCATCTTTCCATGGGATAACAGGAGCTATCTTCTGAGGAGCTCTGAAAACTGTGGGTGCTTCTGAAGAATGAGTTGACTGTCTCTCCACTATGAAAAGGTCTACAAGACAGATCTGTAAATGAGAAAAACCCTGGTGCAGATGCAGGCCTAACACAACCAGGGCCCCACAGGGACAGGTGTGACCTACCTTGCACATCAGAACCCTGCAGGTGTGAAAGCCAAGGCACTGATGGGAGGCGTGCTCTGTGGGTGGAACCTGGGCCTTTCTGCATGTGTAGCAAGCACTCTACCAACTGAGCTACATCTCCAGCCCAGGAGTGAACACACTAAGCCTGCATGCATTTTGAAATAAAGTTTTACCAGTTAAAAGCTTAAATGAGGTGGCAGCTTATAGTTTCAGAGGTTTAGTCCTCTATCGTCATGACTGGGAGCATGGTAGCATGCGGGCATAGTGCTGGCTACATCTTGATCAGAAGGCAACAGGAGATAGTCTGAGACACTGGGTGATATCCTGAACACAGGAAATCTCAAAGTCCACCCCTATAGTGACATACCTCCTCTAACAAGGCCATGCCACTCCAACAAAGCCACACCTCCTAACAGTGCCACTCCTTATGAGCTTACAGGGCCCAATTACACTCAAACTACCACATACCCAAAGTGTACTTTCGATAAAAATCTGATAGTCTGCATTAAAGCAGTGGGGGAGTGCACAAGGCCAATATGCTCCCTGCGTGTAACAGTGCCTTGTCATTACAGTTGGGACAACAAAATACAACTAGAAGATGATAGCAAATTCAGATGAATCTGAATTAAACACGTTGGACTTTTCTGCAGTAATCTAAAACAAAGATGTTTTAACTGACATGCATTCTAGAGCAATCTGAGTATCATCATTATTAAAGTAGATATTCTTTCCCCATCTTCTCCTGGATCTGTTGCAGCTTGGCAAGTTGCAGAGTCGGTTGGGAAAGACTTTGCCCTTAGAGGCACTGGTACAAGTGGGAAGGACAGAGGCAGGGCTCTGAACCATGTACCCTTCCTCTCCCCCTTGTGGCACTAGGCAGAGTCCAGACATGTCCAGGGCTCCAGTGACAAGGAGCAGCTCACAGGCACTGCTCCTCAGCTCCTGAGGCCAGGGACAGTTCAAGATTAACTAGAGGAGGGACTCGAAGGTTTTAAGGACAGCAGCTCCTTACTAGTGCACAAGAGCCTCCATCTTAAAGGCAGTGTCCCCAGAGAATACACCTCAGAAGAGTCTCTGAATGGGTGTGTCCCTCAAAGCAAACACCACAGGCAAACCAGAGGCAAGGAAAGGAAAAGACATAGGGCAGGCATCAAGCTGCCACTACAAAGCAAAGCGCTTCCTCAAGTAAGAGGAGGAGGGAGAAGAGAAGGAAGAGGTACTAGGCATTTTTCTGACAGCAAGTATCCCCTCAGAGATACTGGTTTTCTGGGAACATTCTAGAGAGTGAATGTAATTGCTTAAAGGTTGTTAAGTCCTACCGGCTTAGAGGCTTTTCTTCTAACTCTGTGGCATTACCAGGATCAGGAAGCCAGGAGATATTTATTGTGTCTTCCTGAATCCTGCAGAGGCTGCTTGGGGGGAAAAAAGGCTGTGACCTTGGGGTCTTTGGGGAACCAGACTGGTGATCAGGTCAGGCTCTGAACCTTCTACACTATGATGGTGGAGGGTAAAGGTCAATGTACATCTGAAGTTTGTCTGTCCTGCTATCTGTCCAAAGTGATGCCAGATCTCCCCTGGGCTCACACCAACGTCAGAAAGCACACTCTTGTTCTTTTTCAGTGCTGGGCATACCATAAACCACACCCCAATATTCTAGCACAGTGTTGGGTATACCATATACCACACCCCAATATTCTAGCACAGTGCTGGGTATACCATATACCACACCCCAATATTCTAGCACAGTGCTGGGTATACCATATACCACACCCCAATATCCTACCACTAAGTTATACCCCCTGACCCTTTCTCTAGTTTGTATTTTGAGACAGGTCTTACTAAGTTATCTGAACCAGGCATGTCTTGAACTTGGAATCTGTAGGTGTAAGCTACTCTTTCATGCCTGGCTGCCCAGACCCAAAATAACTACACAGAAACTATATTAAATACAACACTGCTTGGCCAATGACTCTACCATATTTCTAGCTAGTTTTTACATCTTAAATTAACCTATTTCTTATTATTTTATATTTTGTCACGAGGTTCGTGGTTTACCGGTAAAGTTCTGTCTCATTTGGCTGCTACATGTCTTTCACTTGACTCTGCCTATTCTCTCTTCCTCTATCTGCTTGGAATTCCTGCCTTACCCTATTCTGTTCTGCAATATGCCCAACGCAGCTTCTTTATTAACCAATGATATTCACAGCATAAAGAGGGGAATCCCACATCAGGAATCTTCCTGCC